TTTATATTTTTTGGAATGGGATAAGAAAAAGCCGCTATTAAACATTTACAATGTGTAAGCCTAGTACTAAGTCTAGGGACTCAAAAAGAAAACTTAGTTCTTTCTCTAAAGAAACTCATATTTTAACTGAAGGAGACAATGCATAAATTAAGACTCATGTTTATTTCATGGAAGAGGGAAAAACCAAGTGGCATTTGGTCAGGGAAGGTAGCAAGGGAGACAGTGAAGACTTGTTTTTAAATGAGATTCATCAGGATTTAGCCTACTGGGGAATAAATAGCTACAGCACTAAGAAGGTGAGGTCAAAAATTCTGATATCCTACATCTCTGTCTCTTACTCCTCTCTCTCTCTCTGTTTCTCTGTTTTTTTTGTCTCTCTCTGTCTCTCTCTCTCACTATCTCCTCTCTCTCTTTATCTGTTTTTCTCCTCTCTCTTTCACCATCTCTTCTTTCTCCTTTCTGTCTCTCTGTCTCTCTTTGTCTCTGTCTCTCTGTCTTTCTCTCTCTTACTATCCCCTCTTTCTCTTGATCTCTGTTTTTCTCTTCTCTCTCACTCTCTCTTCTTTGTCCTCTCGCTCTATCTCCCCATCTTTCTCTCTTCTTCCCTCTCCCGCCTCTGCTTTGTCTGTCTTTCTTTGTCTGTTCAAGTCTGTCCATCCATCTATGTAAATGTTTCTCTCTTTGGTGTTTGTTAAATTAAGAATAAAAACAAAACAAAAAACCTATTTTTTAAAGCAGTGAAGTACAAGAAAGTGAAAGTAAAAAAGTGCTAACAAAATTCCAAAGAAATCAAAACCCTAATGTTGACCCTGTAGCTACCTGCCTACATGACACGCATTTGCTGTAACTACCTTCTGGTGGGAGTTGGGGTGGGTGGCTGACAGAGACATAAAGGTTTGCAAGAAAGAGAATGGGGAAAAATTAGAAAGAACAGTAAGGAGAGGAAGAAGAAAAATAACAAAGCTGACATCTAGCACTTAAAGTTTACAAATTGATTATTACATTCATTATCTCATTAGATCCTTCCAACAACCCTATGAGATAGATGCTAGTCAGAGCTATGTGACTTGCCCACAGACAGAGAAGAAGTGATAGTAGAAAGGGCAAATGGAGAGTGGAAAAGGAGATAAAATACTGGAAAAATCAAGAATAAAAACATTAAGAAAATAAGGATTCTTAGAATTCACTCATCTTGAAAAGATGTCATTGGCATGGTGGCATTGGGCCCTGTGGCTTAGTTCATAAGGAAAGAATGCTGGAAAGAGAAATGGAATCTGGATTTAGCTTCATTGATTGCACTCTTGGGATTATCCTTAGCTATTCAATCTTCTTTATTTCTCATGTCTGTCCGCATACGTGATCATCTGTTTATATATGTCTAATCCTACTGCTATAGTGGAAAGGATCATCTTTCTAGGACAAATTTTCTGCCTGAATCTGAAGAGGAGCACTTTGTTTTAAACCTACGATATACATACTATGATATGGGAAAGACAAAAGGATTTGAGATTTCCTCAAACTTCCAGAGTGGGCCCTCCTTCTACCACTGTATATCACAAAACTCATCTATGAGTTGGTAGCTAAATCCTAGGAAGTTTCCTAATGTACTTACAAATTACATGATTCATATATCTGGCAAGTGTCAGAGCCAGGGTCTGAACCCAGGTTTTTCTGACTCCAAGCCCAGAAGTATCTACCACAATAAATTGTCTCTGTAGTTATCTACATTAAATAGCTCATGAAAAAACAATTCTAACGTTATTTTTCTTTTCTCAATATGTCTTTCCTTTTCTAACATAGTTATCCAGGAATGTTTACTTTAATCTTCCTTTTACTCTTCCTCTGTATCTTCTGCCTTTGTTCCCTGGGGACTCAAGATTTACCCTTTTGAAGAATAGCAATGGTGCCATTGGACAATACCTTTAAGCATATACTTGCGTCCAATACTGAGATGTGAAACGTACATACCCAGGTGTGAAATGTCCCAAAAGTCTCAGGGAAGTTTTAAGGTTTAACAGTTTAGTAGCTTAAAATGTTCTCTAAGCATTTGGGACACCTTGTGTATTTATACTTGTATATGTGCAATCATGTATGTGTATATTACGTATGTGCACATAAACAGAAAATTTATACATCCTTAGGCTATATGCTTGAAAAAATATGGTTTAGAGTACAGAATAAGAAAAAAAAATCCTCATGAATCATGCAGTAAGCTATGTAGACATCTGTAGAAGTCAGAGGAAACTAGCCCAGCCCTCCCGTCATGAGACACTTGAGACTAAAAAGATCTACAGATGTCCTTTATCTTGGGACAGCAACTGGCCAGACAAACTTGTATTTCTTTTCCAACCATCTGCGGCCACAGCACCAGGAGGTCTCTGCCGACCCAGGATTATTTCATGATGAAGAAACTGGATTACAGAGTGCTGATCCCAACTGAAATGTACTGTTAAAAAAAAATAAACTATTTTTACAAAATTGTTGGAGAATCAATATTCGG